AGCACGCTAATCCGGACCTTCATCCCAACGTGGTCACAATTATTACCATACTCCTGACAATGCCAGTGTCAACTACTACCCCCGAACGATCTTTTAGAATGATGCGCACAGTGAAGACGTACTTACGTTCCACGATGAAAACAGAGCTACTCGCAGCACTCGCTTTGATGCATGTTTACAGAGACATACCCATTGATGTAGAAGCCCTTATTCGCAGATTTTGCGTCAAAAAGAAGGGACGTCTAGCTGTCGAATTTCTTTGAGTTCCACCAAGATTTCAGATGTTTGCAACTAATGTGTCGCTAGTCAGGTCATTACGTTGTTGGTGTTGTTGACCACCACCACATCTGGCTGCATTTTGTTAAATATTCCATTATTTCTTGTTCAATGTGGAATCCTGGCATTTGCCACTTAATTTAAGCGCCAGATTACACCAGATTACACCTCAGAGTACTTGAATTTTCAGAATTTTCCGGGAGGGCATGTCCCCAGATCGCCCTAGCATGTCGCGCATTGAGCTCTCTTTATGGGTGCTTGCTCCACCATGGCTTACAAACAAAAAATGGCTACGAAGGTCCCTGAATGTGATAATTTATCTTCGCTTGTAAGAGCTCGTTCCTCTACCCCCGGGTCAGTCAGGGGATAGCCCCTTTGCTTAATAATGCGTCTATTTTTTTTCATTTCATTTTGCATTGATTCAAATCCATATCGAAGAGGAATTTTTGAGTACTTTTGGCGTTATACTTTCTACTACTTGTTTGGGAAGCAAGGATGTCGCAGTGGTGAGAAAACAACTCGCCTCCTTTAATGTGGCCCGGGCTCAAATCCTGGTGGCGACGCCATATGTGGGTTTAGTTTGTTGTTGGTTCTCTCTCTTGCTCCGAGGGGTTTTTCATCAGGTACTCTAGTTTTTCCCTCTCGTCAAACAAACCTGGAACGCACGGACGCATGAGTTGAAACGAGTACTTAACAGCTACTAAGTAAAGAGCCTGTTTATATGGAGGTGGGGACCCCGGATAGGTGAGGTAACATGCGGCGGGTTACCCTACCTGTCATGTAAAAGTGATAAAATTCAAATAAGAGATCATATGGACAGGCGGGTTACCCCACCTAAGCGGGTTACCTCACCTACCTGGGGTCCCCCACTTCCATGCAAACAGGCCCTTAGTGCCTTGAGGGTAAACAAATTACCGCAACATATACTTGCGGTATATTATATAATTATCAATTACTAATAGACGTCGTTGTCTCAGTTAAGTAAAAAAAAACACCAAACACAAAATAAAACAAAACTTTTAGTTTCTACCAAGGAAAGGAAAACGCCTCCAAGGAAACAAACTCTCGTAGCCTGAATTTAAACGCCCAGTTACTCATGTTCAGTTTGTTGCTATTTTCTCGCAGGTTGATAGCTCATACGACGCGGGAGATTACCAGAGAGCCTTAAGCCGCTCAAACACTGCCAAGCTGTTGAATATCGTCTCTATAATATGTGGCATGGTTCTTATTGCTGTAATATTCTTAGTCCGAGTGAACAAGGCAAATACCACTATTTACATTTACGATCCTTACAACTAGGATTTCCAACTATCATATGAACCTTGTTTTTGGACATTAATACCAGCACGTATCAAACACGAATTTTAAATAGCACTGTGTTATATAGCGTTATATTTATTCCTGATTAGAATTTATATAAATTATGATCGCATTTTGATTTTTTCGCATCTAATTTGCATAATTTTAATAGAACTGAACACCTATCGAGACGAGTAATGAAAGTACATGTAGTAAAATTAATAAGGGCTTGGGAAATAGTTCCTGGCTGAATCACAATTGCGCCAGACAGTTCATAAGATGCAGCCATAAATAAGTTGATAAATAGATAAGTAACAAAAATACGAATAACCTAATTCACATATTTTTTAAAAATATTTGAAAGCTGAAAAAAAAATCAGCTAAGGAAGTTGTGCACCAATCTTGCATAAAGAGGAAGCCCTTTGCAATGCAGTTGGGGTAAGCTTTGGTACATTTCTCCAACTTCAAATTTAAATTCAACTTTTTTCATTTCAGTGAAATGAAGGGAAGGAACAACTATTATAATTCTCATTTCTATCAGATAATGATTTCGTTCCATCATAATTACAACTGATTAGAAGGAAATCGAACAGACAAAAATGTTCGCGATCATATCATTTATTAACCCAAATATTGACTATTAAACAAATAATGAGACATTGACAAAACAACTGTTTTATTATTATTATTATTATTATTATTATTATTAGGAGAAAAAAAAGGAAAGTAAGAAAGAGAGAAAGAAACTAGGAAAGAAAGGATAGCTTGTGACAAAGATGGTTTAAAGCAAAACAAGGCCTTGCAGTGAATTGTGCTGTTAGCATGTAGTTCCCTTCCCGTTAAAACCGCCCCAAAACATTTCTATACAACGTTATCAATTCGATTCGATTAGCAATATGCTGTTCCTTTTAACAGAGTTTTTAATTTCTTAAGCTACGTACAAACGGATGCAACAAACTCCAAACAATAATGGGACTTGCAATACATTATGCCATAATTTTACTAAGTAAAAAATTCGAGCGACAAAATTGGGACACAGGTGAATGATGTTTTAAGGCGACAATGTGTAATGCGCGTGCGTGACCCCCAAAATGAATGAACTATGTTGAGAGCTATGTTAATGGCTCCCACATTGTTGCGCTGTGCATCGGCGATCACGGAACGAAAGAAATGTTGCGGGTTGTCGGCTCAAAAGTTTTACCGGTTTCAAACTTGGCGAGACAACTCCCAACAACACGCAACAACATGTAACATGGTGTAGAAACGGACGCAACATGCAGTTCCCAAAAATATTGAGAATTGTTGGCCAACAATGCTGCGACCGTTTGCAAATAGTTTTATCTTAGAAATTGTATCTGCATCGGTTTTTAAGGTTCATAAGGTTTGTGTGACTAGCCGTTCCAAAAGGCCATATGACGTTTTAATTCGCGTCAGAATTCATCGTTTAGTTCAAAACAGCCTATATTTGTGCAAAGGGACGAACTCGTGTGAAGAGTCAAATGAGAAGTCTGGCGCGATGGTTAAAACGAAGCGTGAGGCTCGAGCGCTTTGCACGAGAAACTAAAAACTCACGCCTGCGCATCGCGCCCGAATATACTACATTCAGTAAAAAACAACACCAGCAACAGCCGTGATGAGGACGAAAGAATGAACCATACTCCTATCTAAACGAGTCCATTAAACTATTCGATCTTAGCAAAACGCGTTTTGAAGCTAGTCGAGCCGTTTTCTAATCAGGTCTACTTGTCGTACTGACTCTTTTTTGGCTGATGTATTCTTGTGTGGAACAATCTTCCATCTACCGGTGTTACGGCTCCGTCTTTGCACGTGTCAGAATCCACAGCCAAAACCTATCTGTCATCACCTACTGCCTAATTGTGCCAATTGAAAATAATCCATAACAAGTCCATAAATAGTAAAAGTTTTTGTTTTCACCCAGTCAAATCCCTCGCGCACACCTAGAATACAGTGGCATGGTGACGGTTTTTTCTTGATTAATTGCCACAAAATCAGTCCTTAACAAAAGCTTAGTATGGCAAAAAATGATCTCAGTTTCTTTTCACAATTCGGGAATATTATTGCCCTTGCACTGAAACAGAATCATCAATCACTACATAATAAGCATTTGCCTCCCGTTACCAAGGCTTTGGTGTCTTGCCGAACAGGAGTAGGCGGATTTTTTAAGTGATGGGTCTTTTTCGCGTTCTCTAGCGGCTCGCTTGGCTCGCCGAAATGGAAATCAGGGAGAGCTTCCTTGCAGGCTCTTGGGTCCTAGTGGCAAACTCACAGAGAAAAAATGATTACGTACCTATAAATCGCCGTCATCCCCATTTTAATCATTTGTAGATTTTTATTCTAAAAGTGATGCAAGATCACAGTGACAAACCGTATACAGCTATTTCGAGAAAGGTTGTGTGCTGCAAAAAAAAGTGTGCAATACGTGCAATTTGTTTTTTTGCTAATTAGATTTTTATTGCCGTCCCCGTTTAGCATTACACGATTTGATTTTTTTTTGTTTATAAGTATTATTAACCAGAGCTTCGCTTTTAGCCCTGGCTAAATCTATATATTAGGTTTCTTCATTATTTTGCTGTAGGTATCAATTGGCAGTGTACGTCTTGAATCCACCACACATTAGTTAAAATTGGTTGAAAATCAGTTTATCACAAGAGGTGGTCTCACAATATCAATAATATTATATGTGAAATATAGCTAGACCCTGACTCGTTTAGTACTCAGTGTATGTTGTGCTTATATTGTCTGTTTCTTCAGTTATTATGCATGCACTCAGTCGGTGGGAACTAACTTAAATAAAGAGAAACGCTTCAGGCTTTTCATAGTATATTTTTAACCATTAGGTAGTGAGATTTGAGACAATACACGACGTTCATTGTGCATATGAATATTGTCACCCTTCACAGTGTTACGATCAATTTGATTCTGTTTTTAGATGTATTAACGTTAACTCCTCGTGCGGTAGAATACACCCGGGATTTCTATAAGGTAAGGAAAAGCAATGTTCTTATTCTTCCGAAGGCGATTTCTTCGTGCTTTGACGTTGTATTTCAGGAAACGCGAATTTCAACGCTTTCACTTTCACGCTTGCTTCTGAGGAAATTGTTTAAGCTTTTGCTTTGCTAAGCAAAACCTTGTCAATAAAAGTATGAAGCATGTTATACAATAACATGTCATACAATATACCGAATACTACATCTAGCTAAGATCTAAAATATATGTATTGAATTTAACTTGAGTCGAATCAAGTTCGTCAAGTTCTTTACAGGACAAAAAATATAACGGGGGTTAAAATTTCTTATAATAGTGTTCCAGTAAAGCCTATAGAAAGAGTGGTAGGTAGGTAAACAGTTAATTAAAGGCACAAAATAAGCGACAAAACTCGATCTCTGAAGTGAAAACATTTGGGTAGCCAAAAGAATATTAGCATAAGTAACATGAACACGCCGTTCTAAAATCAGAGTGCTTATACTTCATACAATATAAAGTATAATGTCTTAAAGCACATTTTGTACTCAAAAACTCTCACAAAAGAATTTTGTTTTAGCTCGTCCAGTCGTTTGCGGTTTAAACGTTCCAAGTTTTTTTCTTGCAAAGTGATTAATTTTGCACCGGCCGACAAAGGCTAAGACTGCAAAGCAGAAAGATGCTATCTCAGCATTAAAAATAGCATTCATCACCTCTTTTTCGCGGTCTGGACAGGACTAGTCTGGACTGAAAACTGAAATAGACTTTGTAAATCATGGATTAAAATAAAAATATGAAATAAGGGAATTAACAATTATTACAAAATACATTTTTAACCATTGACGTGATCACATCTCTCTTTCAAGCCTCCTGACAGCATGTAAAATGTATCAGAAACTGCTAACAGAAAAATATAAAACCACAGCAACAACCCTGTGACGAATGTCGGATCTTGTGCAGATCTTAATACCTTTTAGAAAGCAAAAACTGATCTAACAGCAGACGACTGCGTGAACAAATTAAAAAAAAGTTTTAACTTAAAAGAAAGTGTGTTGCTACCGGATGCGTACTACATGTATTGCGGATCTATGCTATGTGCTTTGTCACGTGATATAAGTTTTGTCAGTCTTAAGTTTGAGTCACCAAGGTAGTTTTTCTGAGAATAACTTGTTGGATCCTGTTGGATCCTTCTTTCTAAAATCTAACCCCAATTTCTGAGATCAAGCAAAATCAAGCAGTCAAAACAACCCAACATATTGCATTAAAGACGTATTTTTACGCTGCACCGGAGCAACCTCTTGGATTGCAATACTTTGAGATTGAACTGAATAGCTGCTGACAGAGTTACCCTGCTGGACAATGCAAGAGACCAGAGCTAATTACCAAATGACGGCACTAGTATCTAATCATCCTATTTAAATTTTATCTCTATAATATTTAACGATACATCCTTAAATTATCGCTTAGAGCATGAAACTTGAGTAGGTGACTCTTATGTTTCTATTTTCTATCTCAAGATAAATTTTCAGGTAGAACCAGTGCCAAGCAGTGAAAATACGAGATATGTCTGACAAGGTGAAACACGTTGAAGGTAGGCCGGACAAATGTGATCTTGAATGCTCAAAGTAGTAACCAAAGTAAAAGCTAGAATAGCAAATAAAGGCACTTGCCAAATGTTGAGCTAGGAAGGAAGTTGACCTCAAAAATGATAGTTTATTCACCTTAAAAACTTGCAGCCAAAGGGCTGAATTGCGATAAGGTTTACAAATGCAATAATTACCAACTGAAATAATTTACAACTAATAAAAGAAAGATGATCCGGCATAATTTACAATTTTAAGACTGTTACAAAATGAGAAATTCATAAGCATGCGTCAAGTTCCTATATACAAGGAACAAAATTGCATCTTACTAGTTCTCAACTACTGTAAACATAACTTAAAAGAAAACTATTCTTGCACCTTTCAGTTTTACACTTTGGACCAATAAATGTTCTGTGTTCTCTCAGAGAGAAGTTTGGCTGATATTTACTTGGAAGTAGTTTGTGGAGACTGAGTGTGAGACTGATTAGCGCATATTTTATCGAACAACAATTACCTCTAGAGCCTACGCATATCATAGCTCAGGGTGAATAATCTTCATAGCGCGTTTTTGAGTCCTTCTAGGTCTTCGCTTAGATAACTTGGTAGAGCGCGATGAAAAAATGAGCTGCCATACTCTAGAATAAAGCGAATGCATGTGATGTAAAATAGATCTAGAATTAACTCTCTTGTAGCAACATGCGATTTCTTAAGCTGTCTTAGAAAATATAATCTTGTTGAGACCTTTCTAACTAGTTCTGACACATGGACATTCCACTTTAAATCACTGCTAACAATTTCATACTGTTCACAGTCTCTAGGGACTGAAGGTTAACACAGACAGGGTCAAACACCTGCTCGTTCCTTGTCAAGCTAATCCTGAGCTCTTTGCATTTCCTTTTGTTTAACTGAAATCCGTCATCCCTTTCTTACCTTGCGAGATCGTCTACCACTTGCTGAATACAACTCTCTTGGCCTTTATCTACCGCCTCAGAGATTGTGGTGTCATCCACATATTTCCACATATCTGCCTCTCTTGCATTCAAATCATTTATCATTATTAAGAAGAGCCACGGCAAAAACTTGGTCCCCTGAGGAACACCGGCTGGGATGAAACCCACTGGGAGAAACAATCCTGGGCCAGTTCAACCCTCTGTCTCCTATCCAACAGAACGTTAGCAATCCATCATAAGATGTGGCTCGGAATATCATAATCTGAGAGTTTACGCACAAAGATATTGAAAAGCCTCACGGAAATCAAGTAAAACGACTCTTATCGTGGCCGCGTTCCCATCAGAGCTGATCCCATATTGCTTTCTTGTCGATTTTTGGCACGGCCGGCATCACAAAGTCATGAACAACATAGTCCTCGGCAAATAGGGAAATGGGGCGAAGGTGCTAGTTAACGTCTTATGATAGGTCTTGGTTTGGACGACATTTAAAGGTAGTGATAAATCAGTTTCTAGATAAGTTAAGGAAAAGTGGACCCGTTTTTTGCAAGAAAATGGCCTCCCGTGAAAAATTTGCTGTTACATTTGGCTGACATTTCAGGTTTTATTGATATAATAAGTATGCTAATTTTAAAAAATTTCAAAGAAGAGTAGAAGCGAAAATCAACTGGTAACGAATCCCTTTGAATTGAAATTGTTTTGGAATTTTCAAAACGCTTTCCTGTTAGTATGACGTGAAAGAAGCCTTCCAATGCCCGCAAAATTCGTCATCCCCGCGTCTGTAATCTGACAACGGAGTCACGAAAAACTCTGGAACTTTAAGAAACGTCCAAACAACGAAATAGTTTTATTGAAGCAAAACTGTATTTTAAGTTTTAAAAGTATTTTGTTTTCCTAGCAACACAACCAGTCATGCCTAGTTGTAGGCTTAATTTTTAAAAAATTAAATTTATCGTTATTTTTTGAAATAAAGGCTGTTTTGAAACAACACGTAACATTTACTTGACAATCCAAGTAACTGTTGAGTGGAGGACCCTAGAGAGAATAATAGCTCTCGAAAATCGGTTGGCCTTTAAAATGAAAGGTTAAGAGAGAGAACAGACCCAACACTGCCAACCTCGCCATTTTGAAACCTTGGCTACATTGATTACTTTGTCTTAAGTAGCAGTGGAACTCTGGTTAGAAGACCAGAGCGATAAAAACTTGGTCGTTTTAGTTATTAAGAAGCGTCAATTCAGTTGGAACGGCAAGCATGAATTTATCACATTCAAAGTAATACTTATTCTAAGACAAGGACTGTTCAGATGGAATGTGGCAAAATCGATGTAATTTAAAAAAAAAAAAAACTACATGACAGCTTTTTTGGTCTCAATTTAAATAGCCGTCACACAAAAGCTTCGAGATTCAAGGCACTTCTGCCATCACAAAGTAAAGACTGACCCAACTCATCATTCTTGATTGAATTAATAGTTGTCAGTTTTTCCCGGCCCAATTAAGAAAGTTTGCTTAACCAGGGGGAAAAGTCTTGCCTCCACTTTGTTAAGTTCAGTTGTATATCTTCAACATTACTACTGAAAGCAACTTGGGATCGAGTATAGTGCCTTGAGGCACACGCCCGGTTTATTTATAGACAGAAAGTACTCTTCGCTGCCCATTAAATAGAAAGTTAATCGTCTGAAAAGACTGTCTTTAATTGGATCCAGTGATTTCCTACAAAGATCATGTAGTTTTATTTGTTTTCGACAAAGTTCACGAAACACTTTATTTTTTAAAGGGGAAATGGTGCCCCCACAGCCTTACCCAGGAGAGCAAGGTAATTTTCCAGCTCCACCTGGTTACCCAGCCCAGCCTGGCCACCCACAGCAGCCGTACCCGGCACTGTCTGGGTACCCAGTCCCCCAAATACAGCCGTACCAAGAAATGCGAGGACAATGTAACACAACAGCAGTTGTAATGCCGGTAAGAGTCTTACAAACCATCAAAACAGCCGATGTTTTCTTTCAAAGATCAACAGATAGAGGTACCAGGCCATGGATTAGTGAAGAAACACTGTGTCGAGTACTGGTTTGATACAACTTCTAAACTATGAATAAATTCGTGAGGAATTTTCAAAGCTAAACGTCGCCAAACTTTGTGGCGCAATCGAGGTTCGGTTTCCATTCCTCCTTCGCAAGTGCTTTCCAAACACAAAAATTCTGATAAGTTTGTTTGAAGTTTTGGTGGTTTGTTTGGAAAAACCCGTTGTGATGTACATGTACGTAGAATCCAATATAGATACAAGTAGAATGAGACATAGAAGATCAGCTTCAGCTTTTTTTAACAAAATTTAATATTTCACCTTTCTTCACTAGAAAGAGTAACTGTAATAGTTTGGTACTTTTTATATAGTAAGGAACTTATTTCATTTTTTTTTTTTATCATTGTATAGTCCAGTCATGAAGCCTTCATCTTACGACCAGAGGCTCCTCGTCCACAGAATTGGCGAACCTTGTCCATTTTTAACCTTGTGTTCTGTCTTTGGCCAATTAGTGTAGCCACCTTTGTCTTCAGTAGCAAGGTAAGTATGCCGTTTTTGATCATTTGCTGAATCAAACCCATGGATATACGACTTCTTTTTACGAAGTCATTTTGAGGCAGAACCTTTTCTTTTTCAGTAGTTGCTTGTTTATTTCCTAGACACGTTTACCCAAAATTTGTCGAGATTTGGTTGCAAAATCTCATAGATATAATATGGAACCATTCCTTTAAGAGCCCAGCTATTGTTTGGAGGGAAGCTATTTTTTGGGGGAAAAGAAAGTTATCCGCGCTTGGTTTCACCTCGAATCCTCACTACTCATACATGTATGTTTTTTCCAGGTGGATAGCTCTTATATTGCCGGAGATTACGAAGGAGCAAGACGAAACTCAAAAATTTCTCTGTGTTTGAATTTACTTTCAATCCTCTGCTTAGTAAGCTTGGCAGCGTATGTATTCAGTTAAAAATGAGATGTTTTTACCGACTAAAAACAAAATTTTCTCGACATTTTTTGACTGTAGAAAGTAGATGAAGAATTTTCGATTGCAACTGTTTATTTTCAGCATTCTAAGGCCATCTTTGCCACCACCGCGGTCAAACGTCTAAATCGTTATTTTTGTTTTTTAATGCTGGGATTTCATTTACCAGTTAGAGAAAAATGGGCAAAGATGTATAAATCAGTTAGTCAACATAACCATCTTTCCATTTTTCTCAAAATTTTGAGCTTTTTTGCTGAAAAGGCTTCGCGTTAAAAGAGAATCATGTTTGAAAATGGCGCTGATAATAACGTCAGCATCGGTTTTCAAACACTTAGAACGTTTTTAGTAAACTTTTAAAAAGTTTAGTAAACTAACAGGATGTTGGTAATACCCTAAACTTTCGATAGTGAAAGTAGCAACCTTAACTTTGAAGTATTTCGCTTAACTTTTGCAAATTTCACTCGTTTGACCGCTGTGAAATCTTTGCCTGTTTTCAGTTTGTTACTTTCTTGTTTTTGTTTGTTTATTTGCCTTTTTTCAATTGTTTTTGTTTTGCGTCTGTGTGTCTCTATAAGCGGATGGTGTTTTCGACTGATCGTTTCTGCTTATCCGTTTCTGTTTGATTTTGAACATTTGTGGAGGGAGTGGCCCTAGATCATTCAACAGTTGTTCTCCTCTTCCTCTAGAATCAGTGTTAAGTCACATTGAGCCCAAATTATTTATAGGTATATCTGTGGTTTACACGAAACCATTTACCTGTGTGTCTTTTCCTATGCTTGGCCGTTTTAGAAGGGATTTGCATTAGCGCAAAGACTGTTTCTTAGTTCGATTTTAAACCACACTGATTGCCTAGACGCGTCAGAACCCGGGGACAACATTTCTCGATCACTGGGGGCATGGTTACTTGAAAATCGAGACGTTAATATGTCTTCTTCAGGTTCTACGGGCCTTAAGCGATTACAGTCAAACCCGTATATAACGGCCCTGTATAAAGAAGTCAGCTGACAACTTCCCAAGATTTTCAGTTGTCTTATATTTTCTGCAAAGTTGACCTGTATATAGCGGTCACCCTGTTTATAACGGTCGCCGTGCTCGTAATTGTGTTTTGAAATCAAACGGAGAAAGAATCTTTCCGCTAATATAAATCCCCTTAACACGAATGAAGACAGATAAAGATACACAAGTGAACTGTTTGTTTAATTTCTTATTGTTGTAGCATTAGAAATCTTTAACTGATACCTGTAAAGCGTTAGGGCTCCCTGTAGCTTGGTGAAAAAACTTCGGTGTAGGCCCAAAAGCGTTTACGTTCTTATTCGACTCACAGCCTTCCAGATATCGCTTGTGGACTTCTTTTAAGTCGTCTAACGCTCTTCGCTTTTAGTGAACGGTGGTATAAGAAGCCTTTGTCATTGATCCTTTTAACCCCAGCGTAGTCATTCGATAATATCGATAATCGATAACATTCGATAACAATCAATAAAAATCGATTAATTTTTTCGAAATTCGATAAAATTCGATAAAAGAGTTCGGTGTGAGTAATCGATAATTAACGATGTTTGAATTAGGGTTATCGATTTTATCGATAAATATCGAATTTATCGTACCAATTTTCGACACGGAAACACCAAAAGATATTAAAGAGCTCGCAGAGACACTTATAACAACTTCCCTGTTCGTTCATCTTTTCAACAAACTTTAAGTAGTACTCAGCGTTTGTTCTATTTGAAATCCGCTATAGATCCCTGGTTGATTATTCCACTGTTTATTTATTTGCTGATGTAACACAATCGCACGCTCGTTGCTCTTTCACCCAGTCTTGAAAGGGAAAGATGAATCCGATTATATCGATAAAATTAACACTTTGTCGGCGTGTGAGTATCGATTTTTATCGATTGACCGATAAAGTCGATATCGTTTAAAATCAATTAATCAATTTTTATCGATTTATCGAATGATTTTCCGATATCAATTTTTATCGAATGACTACGCCGGGTTTTAACATGCTTAATTTCTTGTTCAAAGAAAGTAAAACAATACGCTTTAAAGAAAAAAATAAATAAATATACACGGATTCATGTGGACGAGCATAACTATTGCTCCCATTCTAGTGAATCAGTTAACAATGAGAGGAAAATGGTGTGTCTTAATCGTGGAAAATTGAATAAAGAAACATTAAGCATGCTGTAGGTGGTAGAGAAACGCTAAAACACTTGCATCAATTCTTGGTTTGCAACCACGTGACGAGGCGGCCATGTTGGGGGTCAATAAAATGGAATTTTTCCTCGAAGAATTTACGTGAAAATAGAGTACAAACATAAACCACAAAGGACTGCAAAGGAGGGCAAACGAATATGCCGAAGAACGTAGGATCTATAAAGACCTGATCAGCAAAAATGAAAAGTAGACATATTAAATTCTGCACCCAGAACACTGCAATGCTGATCGTACTACGTGAAAATTAACTCTGCAAGACATCAACACGACACCGAAAGAACTCAAAACAGAGCAGGATTGTAGCCATAGACAGCTGTTTAGCCCTCTTTGGGGCTAGTGAAAATAGAAAATAGAGAAAATGAAAATAGAGTTTAGTTCCCACAGGAGAGAAATGCTTTTGTTCTTGACCACCAACATGGCCGCCGTGACGTAACGCGCAAATCAGCAATAAAGAGAAAATCAGTGAGGGAATCGCACTTTCGCGGCAGTAATGATCGCTGTCGATATTGCACGTTTTCATATTCTGGTAAAATAAATGCGCAAAAAGAAGGAGTTTCCGGCGTTTGAGTGAATGCTATGTATATAGCCGGAAATGAAATATTTTTGAGAAACACGACAGCTGTGGGGACTGGGGCTGGTACAGTTGAGGTGCAACATGGGTAGAATAGAGGGCTTTATACAGACGCACCACCAACTCAATCACACTGATCAGCTTCTTCTACTGGGTCATAATCGACGAAGTATTCACGTCATAGTAGGGGACTAAATCACAATTTATCCATTTACGGATTGGCTGCTTTTATGATCGTTACTCCAGCAAGACAACGTTCAAAGGTAAGGGAGTGACTGTTTTAATAACTTAGAAAAACGAAAATAATAATAACTTACAACAACGCAGAGCTTTATTTGCATGACCATACAAGTACATACAGTTTTGCAGAAGCTATTTTGAAAACTAGTTCTTCATGTATTGTCTATAATATGTAGCTTCGTCAAGGTGTGATAAACGCTTCATATACCACAAATGCATGCTTAGGCTTATCGACCTTATCATTAGCACTTTTACTAAGAGTGACTACGCAAGCCTCAATAAGTAAATGCTTTAAATTGGACCCGGCTACGGTAGGAGATGGGTCACTGATATAAATAAGGAGTCAAGAAATTAGTTTAATGTCTTCTCCAATCAGCTTGTTCTGTTGGGAAACAGTAAACGATGTTCATTGTTTTCTCTTCCTCCATATTAATTTACGATCAGATTCAATTTGGGGTTTACGCAGCTTCATCCTTCCATGGGAATTCAACCCGGATTTCTATAAGGTTAGCAATGGCGATGTTGAGATCATATAGAAAACGAGTTCTGTTAAGGTTTATCAAAATATGCTAATAAGTTTTGTGTGGAGCTCCTTAATCAATGGGTAAAGTTTAGGTTGGAAACTAATTATTCTTAAATGGGAGATAAAGTTCGTATTGGAGTTATTACAGAAACTAGTACAGGTTCGTTCTTTCTTGGCCGACTGAATTTCTTCGAGTGTGGTACTTTGAAGTGGGTTGGCCATCAGGATTTCAATGTGAGGCCAATTTTTTTTTTTTTTATGTCAAAACTGTTTAAACTTAATGTTATCGGAAGTTATTGTTTCAATATAAAAATAGGTTACACTTGGCATTAAGTTGCTCAGTAGGAGAAGTTGGAAACCTTTGAAAACATGGTGCCAGTTGAGTTTTGCACAACCTTTAATTTGTAGATGGAACTCATGGGAAAGGAAACTGCTTGACTGTACTTAGTTTCGCTTGAATTAGTTCTCGATAACAGATGGTTAAATTAGTAAAAATAAAGTTAAGACCTTGTTTTAGACGCCTGTTCATGCATTCGAGTTAACACTTATGGGAAATATTTTTTTAAAAATCTTGCCGGTTGCTAGTACTAAATTCAACAACAGAGTGTTGAGTACTTTCACATCATGCAGCAATTAGTGAATATTGCTTTTCAGCGCAGATAGCTGACTAATTACAGACGTCTAGCTATTATGTCATTTCCCATGAAAACTTCCGCTTTCTAGCTACTGAAGCAATGCATGTTCACGTAAAACACAGATATTGTCATAACTAAAATGAACATACGCAGGACGATTTTTCGCTGAAAACATTTGAATTGTTATCAAATAATACTAGGAAAACTTATTTTGATTTAAAATCCTAAAGTCTGCTTGAAGTCCATATAGAAGCCAAGAACAAGAAAGAACGGTTACATAATCGAAGCAACCCGCGGCGGCGTCCCGGTAAATCATCTGTATGGGAAATGACATATTAAGACGGAATCCACCAGGAAATTGAGTAATTTCAATTTTCAAAGGAAAAAACCCTGTACCAGAATAATTTTAAGAATATTGCATTCTTTTTCATATTTTTCAAAGGCTAAAGATGTAATTAGTCATCTCTCATAACACCAAAGAAAATTTCTCATGGGAGTCCGACAACATGAATGTCAAATTTCAAAAGAACTGTGATTAGACAGATGAAATTCTTGAAATTTCATGTTAGATGTAACTTTGTGAAATTTGACATTCATTTTCTCGGGCTTCCATAAGAATTTTTTTTTGATATTACTACAGATGACTTATTACTTCATCTTTAGCCCTTGAAAAATGTACAAAAGAATGCAATATGTTTTAAATTATTCTCGACTGGTACAAGATTTTTGTCCACTGCATATCAAAATTACTCAGTTTCCTGGTAGATTTCGTGTTAATGTACTCCAGTGATACTTGATAGAAGTTACCAATCAAATCAATAACCAGAGTATAATACCATCAACTGACGTGATACAACTCACTTTTACTCTGAAGATGACTACCGCACAGGTTGTCGAAACGTCAGTCACTGTCAACAACAACAGTCCTATTCAGGACTACGTTCACCCGGACGATCAAACTCAACCTACTTTAGAAGGTACCAGAATTTGTTACCAGAATTGTATTTTTCAAAATTTGATAATGATGATAGTAATAATTTTAAAAGGAAAAGCTTTTTTTCCATCGATTAAGACGAAAATGTTATCTAAATAAACTCAAATAAAACTTAGAAAGTTACTGACTGAAGTATATCATAATTATCCTAGCAGATACTAGCTTTCTTCTTTACCGATTTGAAAAAAAGCTATCTATTGTTGGTTTTCAAATGACGTCACTAAAATTCAAACTACAAAACTATCGATCCTACCGAGATTTTACTTTCACGATGCATTAGAGCAACTGAAAACTAATTTTCATACAAATGTTCTCTTCAAAAGGCTTCTTGGTTTTGTTATAGAGGGCGCTTGACATTTAAAAACAACCTACAGTCGCGTAATTTTTACGTGCGTACGTGCGGAAAATTTACGTTCGCAAATATTGATGTTTATTGATGTCTACAGGGGCGTAGCGTCCTTTAAGCAAATACGCAAGTGCGTACTCTAGAAATTGGTAGGATTTTTTTAAAAAATGTTTTCCG